CTCACGTTGCCCAAGCTCAAACCATGCTGGCTTCTGCCGATCATGGCAAATGCAAGCGTGTGGCTCCCGCACAAAAAACCAAGGTTTCAGTCTGACACTTACCGTGCTGGTTTCGAAAAGTTGCATTTGGGCCTGTCGCCTCTGAACCGAGCATCCTTGTCCACATGCACCGATCGTGGCATTGTACGTGACGATGTCTCTCTTGAGCCTTCGAAGGCTTGGCGACTGCCATTGCGGCTACTTCTTTCCAAGCTTTCAAGCGGCCGGGGCCCGGCGCTGCCTCGCAGACGCGCAGGTCTCGAAGAGGTCGAGCGCCTTTGCGGCTGCGCTGCGGCTGCGTTAGTTGTATGACAGTGCCAACCAAGCTACCTCTTTCGAGATCGCACACACAAGCAAGTGCCCAACTCTTGCACATAGAGCATCTGCCACTTCAACATCATGCATTGCAGCCCTTGCATGCTTGCTCCTCAAGTCTTTTTGAGCGTTCAGCACCAGCGTGTCTACTTGCATCAGGTCCATCTGCACACACGACAATCTGCGCCTTCTGCCACTCTCCTCCTTCATGACAGGCACTGATGACCTTGCCGCGGTACTTAACAATGACTATTGATGCCAAGCCTACCTGTTTTCCGGTCGACGCTTTATACCGAGGACTCTAGAGGGGGAGAGAGTATAGCTGCAGCAGAAAGGAGTAAGTTGCTGCAGCAACTGAATCGTGCGCATTGTCGCTATGAGAAGATGAGAAGGGATCGCTTGCGGCCAGCGACGGCATTGAAGGTGATGAGGTTTTTGGCCACCACAGCTTGGTCCTGTCAATGAAAGAACCCCTGTTCACGTTTGACCGCAAGAGCTTCTGGCATGCATCACAGAATAACTGTCATACAAGTACACCCGGGCACCATGGAGTGTAGCAGCCCCAGCGCTTGCGCCCACTCGCCGCGATTTGCACATGCAGTGATGGCTGCACAGAAGAGAATGGTATCTGGAGAGACGCCTTGTCTGCCATTAGTCCCAGGCGCCAGCAACAGGCATCCTAATCCCAAGGGTTTGATGATGCCAAGGAGCTCAGTGGCCTCGAGGCCTGGGGCAAAACCGTATACACATGTACGAGGGACATGTGTAATCATGCAGCACTTGAGCGACGCCATAGGACGGTCCATGCTGCTGTACTGACATGAGCCCGGCGGCTTGAAGAAGGGCCATTGCTTCTAGCCATGCAGATGCTTTCTCGCACGCGCTGACGACTCCACTTAATGCAACTTCGTTGATGGCAACTTTCATGAGCCCCATCTGATTCAAGATCTGCAATGCCTGCGATATCTTGCACGGATGAACCCAAAGCGAACACATTTGTTCTGTCATGCCATTGCCGTTCTCCCCTGTATTTCGTACCTGTATCCATTCGCCCTTCCTGGCACATGCACTGATTGCAGCACCTAGGTATTCTGGCTTTTCGCCTCCTCGCACACTGCAGATCTGTGCAAAAAGCTGTGCTAGACTGTGCCAGGCAGCTGCACGAGATGGTGTTCACCTGTATGCTGTCTGTCGCCATAGCATCGAGCAAATTCAATGCCTGGGTCCTGCATGCAGTCGCCAATGCCAGCAATTGTCTTGGACGGGTACCACACACGATCTTAGCAGCCTGCCCAGCATGAAAGACTTCGCACATGATGCTCTGGATTGGACTCAAGGCATTGCTTTACTAAGACCCGTGCCAGGCCGTGCCTTTTTCACAAGCACTGATCGCAGCACTGTATGACACACAGCTAGCTTCCAGGCTATCCTCCTCGCGATTCGCGATGCTTCGGGTACCACGGGCCAAGGCAAAAATGCAAATGCAGAACTTCGAAAGCTGTCCTGCAAAACACTCAGTAAACGAAGCGCCAGTTGCCACAGGCCCGCTTTTTCGCAAGCAGATATGACCGAATTAAAGGCGACGGTGTCCAGTTCCATTGTAGAGCTGCGCATCGATTTCAGAAGCACCAGGGCCTGTTCGACGCTCTTCGTATCTCTTCATCATTCTCCCAAAAAAAGTAAAGCATCAACATGATCCTGTGCACAATTGAACCCAAGAACCTCAACTGACACGGTTGAAGACATGCTTGCAAATCGCTGTCAGCTGTTCAGCCTCTATCCACTTGCCCCCTTTCTCGCAGGCTGTAATCGCGCAGCTCTTCGCGATCACGTTGCTCCGGACTGACATTTGTTCCATGTCTCGCAAAAGGACCAAAGCAGCATCCCAGCCACTGTTCTGGGCAAACGCACGCAGCACAGCTGCAAAGTGAAATACGTTCCTCGGCGCTGTATAATTCAGGACAGGACTGAATAAGGCAGAAAGTGCCTGACCAAAGTCTCACAAGCCGTACACAGTCACAGTCAGCAATGTCAGGTGGAAGGAAAGAGCTCAGAAAATGCGACAATGGGCATCAACAACCTGTTTGTCGTACAAAGAAGACCTGGCCAAAGCTCGCCTCCAGCCCAACTTCCTGGCAGCACCTGAGCTGGGGCTCAGGAACCTGACCACGGCCAATATAGCCTTGTCTCGACCTGCTGACAAAAGAGCTACATTCTGAATGCTGGATTCCGGACATGACATGCTTGCATGCTCATCACGCTCAATTTGCCACCCAGCTCTGTCGACCTCTTTTCGAATTCCTGAACATTACCAAGCTTAAAGAACTGAAGCCTGGTGTAGTGCGCATCCCCGCAAGTCGGACCAGCTTCGCGGAGCGACAAGAGGTGGGCCGAACTTACTGATACTCACTGTTAATTTTGAGCACCACTGAGGCACGCGCTGCAAAAACGCCAAGGCAGCTTCGCTCCTGCCTGCCTCCCACAATCGTTGAACACAGCAACACTTTGATGTAGGTTGAGGCTGACACCCTGTGCTTACGCCATCAACTCCTTGGCCAGCTTGCTGAGGAGCCGTGTAGTAGCCCGTGCATCTGGAGCAAAGTGCATCACCGTGTCGCCCAAGAGCCTGTGCATGTGACATGTGTAGGCACTGGCAGCATGCAAATACCAAGCCATGATGCGTCTGAAAACAGCTGACCTGCACTGCTACATCGGGCACTCGAGGCTACATTCAGGGGCCCAACTCACGATATTTGACCCTGTGCACGAAGATGCAACAAAAACTCCCAGCACAAGCCTGGCTGGTCTCGGTTCAAGCGCAGCCAAAGCACGTAGTGTGACACAGTGTAACACCCTTTCAATCCCTTTCACTTTGCATTTTCCTCCTTTCTCAGCAATGCCCCTCGTATGTAGGTTTGTAGATGAAGGGAATCAAGCTCTGCAGAAGTCCGAAGTAGACACTGGAAACTCCTGGTATGCCTTGAAACACCTTCATAAGCATGTGTCATGAGTGGCCGTTTCGGTAACCTGGACCCAGCTGCACCTCCGGACTTCGTTGGCAGTCTGCGGCGAATACTGTACCAATCTCTGAAGAGTCTGTACCTCATAGTGGGAAGAAGTGCTGGTGTTCTCGACCGCCAGACAGTTCACGGCCATGGCAAACACACATTCCCAGCAGGTGCAGGACCGAAAACTCGATCACTGGATTCTGCCACTTGAGCCTACATGCTGTGCATGGGCTCGGTGGGCAACAGTATAAGGGCACCAGGTGCCACAGCCGAGCCCGGAGTGGTTTGACATGGTTTGACCCCGACCACCTCTGGCATTGGAAGCTCCAAAAAGAGAACGTTTGCTGTGCGGTTGTTACAACCACCAGCCGCCCACATGTGCCTGCAAACATGTCCAATGTATTAAGAATGCAATGTTGCCGTTGGGAGGCACCGTTCGCCCGAGAGTAACTTGCAAAGGAGCCTCTCAGCCGTTCTGATGATGTGCGCATCCCTGACGTTGAAGTGCCCAATATTCTAGGCGGGATTGCCACATCGAGCTGACACTCTGCATAATCATAATTGATGCTTCGCACGACAGGCCATTCCGGAAAGACTTCTGCACACTGACAGCCCCACCCACGCACACCCACCCACCAAAAAACAATCCCGTTGTAGCGGAGCCTCTGGATTCTCGTTGCTGCTGCCTCGAACAGAACTTACTGAAAACATCTCGTCATCTTTGCGAATCTATGCCTGACGGACGCGTCAATCCGTCCCTGCGGCCGCTGTTCAAATTTTCCGGTGTCTTGTCGACCGACTCTGCTGCGATGCCTCTGCGGATTGCTTGCATTCCATTTTCGCCTTTCTGCTCAAAGACATTTTCTTCCGAAAACCGTCCATGAAAGCTCCCGGCCACAAGGAAAAACTTCTCTGGAGTTTTTGGAGCGTGAAAAAGGTGTGCGAAGAATCCCAAATTTCATGCAGCCGAATCAACTAGCATTGACAGGACGTTAGACATGCGTCTTCGGCAGGGATGGCATGACACGAAAAACCGTTGGAGTAGTTCTCGCCCGCATTGGTTGAAATGTTCATCAGGCAATGGGGCAGCGACGGGCAGCGTGTCCGGCCAGCTCATTTTGTCACATGGCCTCCAGCCTCTACGGATTGAAATCATGGTGAAACGGTGAAACTGCCTCTGCTGCAGACGCCAGCAACGCACAAAAGCAACTGTGTCCGATGGTCTTCATTCTTGGCTGAACGATGCCGAATTCGCGTAAGGTCCGCAACAGTCATGTGCCGTCAATGCCGCCTCTCAGGCCTGAGCCACTGGACCTTCAACGGGACATGCGATCCAATGCGCGTTCATCTCACACATGCTACTATGATTGAATGTATCGACCAACCTTGAAAGCATGAGTCTTTCTCACCGCAGAATCAGCACAGTGCTTGCCAAACTCTCCAAAACATGCCTTCCTATCATGGCAAGCATTCCTCTGCCATTGCCAAAAAAGCAATCGAATGTGGTCTTGTGCGAAGCTTTCAGGAGTCTCGCACAGTGCTGGTGCAGGCTTATGTGATGACGACACACAACGCCGATCTGTGAAAAGGTCCTTGATTCTCCTGCTTCCAAGACAGGACCACTCGAGGCAAACCAGATCACGCATATTTGAAGTCCGGGTAGAAGATGTAGGCACCTCTCCACGCGAGTGCGGGTGCGGTGTCCATATCTATTTTGCATATTCCCGCGTTCGGCAATATGGACTTAAACGCTTCACTTGCCAAGGTACGCCGGCGGCGCATCTGTGGTCCCTCAATGTAAGTCGTTCCAGCATTGAACCTAGGAATGATGACGGTTGCCGCTTAACGAATCTCACTGCATCTCCGCCTTGCGAGTGTTCGTGGGGCATGACGTCTGAAAGGCAGTGATCCACATCCGTCGACATCTTTTTGCATCAGGACTTGCGCAATCGCCTGAATGTCTGACATCTCAACTCTAAAACGTCGCTGAGAAACTTTGCTTGGTCCCACTGGCATTTCTGAACTTCCTTAGAACCGAGGGTTGGCACGCTCTGGCCGTAGTTGCTGTTTGCTGGATTCCAGCTGAGCTACATCCCACCACTTCATGCACTTCTTTGCTGCCACCTCCGGCTGACTTTCAAACTGATGGACCTGAATTGAGGAAGACGAGGGTCATCGTGACATGGTCAGGCAGACCGAAAGCTAGAAGGCACGATTGTGAAGCTGGCCAAGCCACGTTCAAGCAGCGAAATTCCTCAATCTGCAGGTACTTGCAGGCATCCTTTGGGGAATCCTGTGCAGCGGAGATCCCAAAAGTGCAAATTCGCGAAGTTTGCTGCGAGTGTTGCGGGCCACGCCGCGACAATCCGATTCGATCCCCAGAGCAAATCAACAAATTACAGGTCAGATATGTCGTGCGCGTCAACACGATCGGCATCGTAGTGCAAAGTCCAGTGCAACCAGGTTGAAAGACTGAGCATAACGGAAGGCACTTTTTCCGGAGCTTCTTGGATTGAAGATGACCATGCCTTGTGCACCTTGTCCGAGTAGTCGGCGACAGCCACGCGGATGTCTTCGGCCGTCTTGGTCGCGGCATATTTCCTGAGCCCGCGCTCCGTAGGAAACCCAGCTGTGACTGGGTGGGGCAAATCTGTATGACACGACATGGTGAGTAACTTCGCCAAGCTTCTCAGGCACATAAAGACCATGATGATAAGCCACAGCGCCTCACTGGATGAGCATGTTTGCCGATCAACAAGTTTCTGAAGCTAAGCTTGATCCTTGGCTTCCCGAAATTCGGAGGGTTGACCTGCAGTCCTCAGAACGGTTGGCAAGGCTTCCAGGTTACTATCGTTTTCTTTTGAACCGCTCCTGATTGAAAAGATTGCAGGTGAAAGAGCTCACGGGTGCATGCGGCACTCTGCGCTGTAGCACAATTCAAACGTGATCACTTGCTTGCCGAGTCAAAAGGGGAACAGCCCTTGCCCAGGACACATTCGTTTTCACGGGATGTTGCATGCAAGAACCTTACACACCAAAGCACGAAGCAACACAGGCCCAAGATGTGTTCCATTCGAAGACAGAATTGAAATACCACTCCGGCTCGCTAGGAGCGCTTGCTCCTCGCAGTCAATACAGCTTGGGCCTTAGGAGTCTTCGTGGTACTGGCTCGTGCTTCCACGAGAGGGATCATTATCATTACGACCTGGTAGGTTCCACGGTGCTGCTGTTGTCTCTTGTTCTGTATGCTTGAAACTCCCATTTGCAGGGCTGAACATTTTCATAGCCAGTGGCTCAGTAAGCACGCAGGGAATCACTTTTTCAGCAAACGTCCCTCCTTGATTAACTGTCCGAGAGCCTTTATATATCCGCTTCAGCCTGCAAGCAGGCAGCCACGAAGCTAGCAGCAATTTGCACAAAGGCCGAAGGCACAGGCAACTCGGCAATGTATCCACATGTCTACTACACGGATCTACACAGATCTATGTTTCTATGACAAGATACTCAGTCCAGTCGGTGGTTTGAGGAAATCTTGCACCACCTACTTCAGCGAGTTAGCGAGTGTATATAAACCATCACCTAACTACCCCGCACCCCGTTCTTAGTCGTGTTCCGAGTCTTGGTAGGACGATGCAAAAATGGTGTCACCTGACCAAATCCTGGAAACTGCCGTTTCAAGGCAATGTTGGACAACAAAGGTCGAAGGGAGACTACTTTGCTTATTAATGCTCTAAGCGGTGCAAGATTCCCTGCATCCACAGTGTGCCATTTTTCGAAGCTATGACTCATGTGCACATAGATACCAGGCAAGAGTCGCTCCCACTTTGATGAGAACATTGGCTTCGCATTCGCATGCACCTCTGCGTGCGAGGGTAACTTGAAGTCTTGGTCCTCCCAGCGAGGTGCAGGGCATGCAAGGAGCCTTGCACTCGGACCATTCCCATGCCACCTCCGTTAATTGCACGTGGACATGCGCCTCTGCTAACCTCAGAGGCCTCTGCGTATGGGCGGAGGCTCTACCTTTAGCATGCAGGCTCATAGTCATAGAGCTTATCTCTGCTCTCAGATGGCCGCTCCTTGTCCAGATCCGTCTTCACTTCACTCTGGACCGGCAGCTCCTGCCAAACGCTCGAGCAACCCGGCCTGCGACCAGGTGCCCTACTGGTGCTGCGTGCCGTGCCTCACATCGCACAAAGCGCGCTTGCCTCAGACGTACTCTGTTTCACTTGTGCGAGTCGTTAATCGGGACTCGATGGAGACTGCACGACAGTGCTTTATGCATCTCGCTGCTGGTTGCCCATACTGCAAGGTTGGCTGAAGTGCACTGGTCGAGCGTGCGGATAGGGAAGCGACAGGCTTGAGCCTTGAGAGCGATGGAATGTACTGTGGGCTCGTGCTGCTTCAATGCAACTCAACTTCAAGAAAGGCATGCCGCAAGGACATGCCAAAATGACTACATTACACTGCTGCCTTCAGCGCCAGCATGCATTCTGGCTGCGTGTGTAAATGCATCTGTTTGGTCTATTCTATTCTCTCTGCCTTGCAGCTCCCTGCCTTCAGACGGCTACTGCTGGCTGTGATGCTTCGCTGCACTGCGAAGGAATTTTGTCCATCCTTCAGCATTGCCAGAGGCGTGTGCAAACAAATTTCTGACAGATTGTAGTCTGCGACTCCTGAACTGACCACATGTGCAAGCATTGCAGCATCACCGCAAGAGCAATGGTCGTGCACTTTGCAGCAAACGTCTTGCTCAAGCTCTGGGATGCTGGCACAGGGGATGGTGAACAGGTGCTCGTGACCTCTGTGGTGCGAGGTCTACCGGGCATTCCTCAACAGACAATTTACCCGAAAGGACATCTTCAAAAGGCGAGGAACACCACCCGCCAGAAACGAGTCAGACTTCCTTCGTCAAGAATCTCTACCGGAGCACGTTTGCAGAGCTTAGTGAGGCTTCTCAGTCTTGCAGGCATGAGCACCTCTCATTTGAGCCAACTGCAGTGGCTGTGCAGCAACACGCTGCTGGTTTGCATCGTGGCTTTGGCATGCCCAGAATTTGGAGTCTGCGCTCAATGAAGTTGGCAATGTTCGCAAGCGTACGAACCGAGGGAAACAACAAGTCAAGTTGCGTAACAACAGGAAATGATACGTAGGAAATGCGAAGGGAGGAAGCGGTAACCGAGAACCGCTTGGCCGCTTGGGTTGGGCAGCATCGGCAAAAAAACCGGGCCAAGCGTAGACTATCAAGTGTAGGGTGGTACTGCAATTTAGTCATGGGCCAGACGGACTGGGGTGACAGGGAACCGGGACCAATGCAGGGTTGGGCATGGGACTCAGCGCCGGGCGACGCACGGCCAAGTTGAAGTTTCGGGTATCACAGATGCAGCAGCTATTCTACCATCTGTTGTGGACCTTGTATGCCGTCGGTAAGGGCATCAATAGTATACAAGGAGGCAGGGTAAAATCTGCACGCCCCTCGCCGTGCAGCTCCAGCGGAAGTCTTCCGGTTTTACCCATTGCTCCGGGTTGCCCTGGGCTAAGAAAAGGTTTGCACAGCCAAAGCGAGCTGGTATAAATGCACAGGACGGACGCCTTGCATGTCCAAAAGACTAACATGCGAATGGGAACCAAAATCCCTCCCGAACAGCATCAATGCCGATGGTGCCGGCTCCCGGCACCCCAGTCAACTTGCGAATATTGCTGGCGGGTCTCATACAGTAACGACACCAATTCCACTCAGCCTGAGCCTGAGTGCGGCAGCTGTCGGCCGGAGTGCCCTTGCTGCAATGCCACTGGCTAGCCTTTCGGTACCCAGATAGCAAAAGCCAAATGGCCAAATGGGGGTAGTTGTGCTGTCATCCGAAAAATGGAAGGCTCGCAATAGTTCCTCCATGTTTTTGCCTTCGCCTATCGTCTGCATCTGGAAGGTGTTGTCTTCCACCCAACGGGCCGCCACGGAGCTGTAGTTCAACTTCGAGCTCTTCGTCACGAACGACTGCTGCCCGGCCGACATTTGGAGGCTTGGTCCAGATGGCACAAGTCGGCAGTGCTTAGGCTTAGACCTTCGATAAGTTTGTGAGCACCGGCCGCAGTTGTGGCAAGGATGCACGGGCGAAGTACGGGCGAAGTCGCTGGTTCTCCAGATTCCGCTGCGTTGCTTTGGCAACCTCTCTTTGGGAGCCTTGCACTTCAAGCAAACAACAGCATCCCCTTTGCCACCACAGCCTCGGCTGATGCTGATGGCACCGTTTTATCCGTTGGCTTTAGCTTTGGCATTGCCTGTGGCCTTCCGAGTGCTCTTGCGAGCTGCGCTGGATGAGCTGACGGCCTCCTCATCGTCCCTCTTTGCCAAGAATCATGAGCCATGCATCCTCGTATCAACATTGCTCTGAAGTCTCCAAAAAGGAGCTGGGCTAGATCCTGGTCCACCGCGAATTTGTGCCCACAGCCTGGCTAGGCTCACTCGCGAGTGTGGAAGAAGAGATGCATGCCGCTTTCTTGTCAGCACTCTTTCACCTCTCCTTGCTGGGGCGCCTGCTGCGCCGGCAATGGAGCTTGCTGCTTGCCATCATTATTATCCTTGTTGCCCTTGGGACCGAGGGGCTGGATTCCTGGTGGAGAAAAGAGCATTTCTTAGCATTTCTGCTGCCGCTCTTGGAATAGAAGATGCATGGGATCCATGTCGTGTCCTCGCCTCTCCACCCCTGCCTGCACTGCCTCCCCGATTGCGTTTGGAAGGAGATCTTGGCGGTGTTCGGCCTCCGGATTTGTCGGCCTGGACATGTTCAAAAGGGCGTTTGTCGCCCTTGGGCCATCTTGTTGGAAAGCATAAAAGAGCTTCTTTGTGCCACGACCTCGAGGAGTCCCTGTACCGAGCGCCATGAGCCTTGGCGATTGCTTTCTCCTGGTGTCCCAGTTCTCTCTTTCGTCAGCAACTCCTTCACGCACTTCAAGAGTGACTCGTATGTATATATGCTGTTGGGTACCTTGGTCTCCTTAGGTTGATGAGTAAGACCCGCAACTATTGCCAACTCGGCTTCTTCAGCCTTAAGCTTATCTTTTCTTGTCCGTCATCGGGTTTCTGGATCATTGCTTGCAATGCGTTCGCAAGACTGTTGCGAGCTTCACCAGTGTTGGCGGGTCATTTCTTTTGCGGACTGCTGAAGCCTCACGCACGGGTTCTTTTGGACTCGTTGAGTTCATCATCCTCGGCAATTTTGTGCTTCTGGAGCCTATCGATAATCCCCGCAAGTTCCTTAGGAGCCTCAGGGGGGTTATGGGGGTTGGGAGGCGTGCCCATGAAGTCCCCGCGCCCGACGCCCTGAAGCAGATGCGGCTCGGCTCCAGCTTGCGTCGGGCTAATTCGTCTTTCGGACAACTCAGTCCTCTGTGTGTCGGCCTCAGCTTGGAGTTCAGCGTTTTGATCCATAAGATCCTGAACCAAAGCATCTTGCCACTCTTCTTCAGTAGCGATGCAGTGCAGTTTCGTTCTCCTCCCACTTGAGTTTCTGCTCCAACTCTAGACCGAGATGCTCTAGGAGCTGGGTACGATTCGTATATTGAACGAAGTCTTAAACTCGGCGGTTCCGATCTCTTGCTGCCGAGCCTAGCAGTGGTATCGAATGCAACGGCACAGGCCCTTTTTCGTTGCGTGACATCACATCTGTGCCTGTAAAACCTGGGATTGGGATGGCTCTCTCTTGCATTCCGAGCGCTGCAAGCTGAGCTCCCTGTTAGTTGAGCTGAGCGATCACGACCTCTGCTGGTGGATCGCTTCTGCGTGCTGCTCAAGTGCTCGTATCTGCATGTTGGTTTCGTTGTATATCTGCCCCATGATCGCAACGTGCCTAGCTTCAGCTTGTGCTCCCACAGCTTGCTCAAGTGCAGGCTGGTTCTCCTGCAGAAGCGGAAAGAAATATTCATTCCCTGAAGCGGCATCGTTGAGGTCATCACGTAGGGCACCACCGACAAACGGAACGAGGGCCATTCAGCCATCTACGGCTGGAAATGTCAGGTATCGCAACTACAGCAGCTACCCTACCGTTAAGTCAACCCTGTGTGGACCCTTTTCTCAATGGGGACTTGAGCCGAATGTGCATTGCATGCAGCAGTCGTGCAGGGCATCAAAAGTATACATGGAGGCAAGGACAGAAGAGGTGCCTTTGTCATGATCGTCTGGTCCATCCTTGAAATCCTTCGACTCACACCACCAC